TTCTTGACGAGGAGCCAGCCAATGTGGGCGAAGAACATGCCGCGGAGCGCGTTGTGCGGGTCGGCCTCCGACTCCGAGTACTTGTGGTGCACGCGGTGGTCGCGGCTCCAGTGGTACACGGTGCCCTGGTTGGCGACCATGTTGCAGAGCATGAGGAAGACGCGGACCGTCCAATGCGCCTTGAACGCGCGGTGGCTCCACAGCCGGTGGGCGCCGCCCGTGATGCCGAGGCCCGAGAGCTCGGCCAGCACGAAGGTGAACGCGAGCGTCTGCCACGAGCACTGCGGGATCGCGACAAGCCCGACGAGCGCGAGCGCGTGGCAAAAGGTGAGGTAGAAGACCATGGGCCAGTTGGCGTTTTGGATGTGCTGCTTCCACGCGATCGCCATGGTAGAGAGGGCCGTGTCTTGCGCTCGGTGAGGCGAATGGCAGAATGGGAACCGAGGATAAGATCTATAGATCGCAGCGCTTGCACGTTGCTTTAGCACCGCGTAGCATTTCTGCGCCCATCGCATGTGATGTCATCCGGGGCTTCGACCCATGCCCCGTGCGATAGCCAATCATATGCGCGCATTATCCGTTGCTCCAAAAACGAACCAATCAGCGCGCGAGTAGCCCGTTGACGGGGCACGTAGGGGCAGACGCGCTCACCAATTTCGGCGCGGGATCCCGTGACGTCTGGACGACCGCCAGATGACCGACGCGCGGAAGCGTGACGACGGCGCGTACGATTTGGACGCGGAGCTACGAGAACTTAGTGCGACTTTGCACTTGGGTGCACTCACGCACCTTACGGCAACGTCAATGCAGACGACGCACATCCATGCCTGCGCTGGTACTATCTCTGCAGCGGGTGTAGGTTGGTCGTCACGGACCCATCTCAGATGGCGTCGATCGTATGCCCAGCAATCACGAAGATTATGGCGTTTCCTTCAATCCAGTGGAGCTCGTGATGAACGCGGTAATCGAAGCGATTGCGCTCGATCTGCCGCAAGCTTCTTCTTCCATCGTCACCTTCGTGCGATGCGAAATGCTGACCGTGACGCAGCCCCTCGATTTTACGATTACCAAGAAGTGCTACCGAACGGGCGGCTTGATGCCGTAGTAGCACTCGAGGCCGTCTTCGTTGCGAAGCGCCACGTCGGCGCCTTTCGAAATCAAGTAGGCGCCGAGGGTTTCGCCGTACCCGTAGGCAAAACAGTAGTGCAGCGGTGTGTTGCCCCGAGCCTAGCATCTCAGTCGCACGAGGTATAGTTTGCAGGGCGTCGTACGTTTTGGAGGTTGATGTTGGCGCCACGTCGGAGCAGCATCTTGGCAAGCCGCTTGAGACCGTTCTGGCACGCGATGATGAGGAGCGAATTCCCGTGGGCGTCTTGGAGGTTGACAGGAAGGCCTTTGGCCAGCATCGCGTCCACTTGCTCCAAGCGGTTGTGGCGCGTGAGCGAGAAGACGTCCGACGCCTTGACCATCGACGGCCGCCGGGTTGGCGCCTCGTCGCTCTCGTCCGACGAGTACAAGACGGCGGGTTCGAGCACGGGCGCCGGGACGCGGAAGGACGGGGCAGATCCCCGTGGCGACGTGAACCGGTGGTCGGTGGGCCCAGGAGGCGGTCCTGGACTTAAGGACCCCACGCGCCGCGCGGCACCCCGCGGTGTCGAGAACTGCGCCGCGTCCAGCATACTATGTTGACCTATGAATACCCCGCGCGTTTTCTTCTTCTGCAGTTGAGCGCGTCGATGCAGCCAGGAGAGTCGGTTGCGTTCGGTTACCGCCTCGGTCTCCGTGTGATTGGGTCGGTTCAACTGTGGACAGTCTGCCCTTGCTGATTGACATTGCGCTGGTTCCCTACCGTATATTTTTGGAAGGCTCCCGTAGAAAAGAAGGGCACCAAGACGGCAGGTCGACGCGCCGCCAGGGTGTATGACACAGCCAGCGGCGATGGCCGTCATTGCCAGCTATGCGCTTTTGCATTTCCCATCGGTTGTTCGGGAACGTGAGGCGGCTACCCGTCAAATTGACGTTGCCGTACAAACTAACCTCGTACTAGAGAACTGGCGACCTAACCGACTAGGTTACTGGCGACCTAAACTGCTAGCGTAGTAGCATACTCGTTGAGAGGGCATTGGCGAACGATACCAGAGCTGCATGCGAGATCATCATTGACACACTTGGACGGAGGGTGGGATTTGGTTGGGTGCGTTTAGCCCGATTGCCTTTTCGACTCCGGTTGCGTGACCAAGCAAGCGGATATCAACACAACATGCGACCAGCTTTTCCGCCGCCGGTGCACCCGCCGACGGGCCTCTTCGCGCCGACGCTGCGTCCGCCGGCGCCCGAGGAGCCCGCGACGAAGCGGCCGTACTTCTTGGATGACCGCCAACAGAGCAAGGTGTTCTGAGGCGCTGCGTCCTTAGGACTACGTGGGTCTCGCGCTTACCAGCCCTGCGCTGGGTTTCTCCCTTGAAAAGATGCGTTCGGCTCGTCTGAGGCCCATGTAGGTGAATCCATGCGACATTTCAGGGCGATCCT